CTTTAAAAGCCCCCACAGGTCATCAATTTAGAGATATCCCAAAATACTGGCCCTAGAATTATTGCTCTCACTCCGGCGTGCGCGGCGATACCCAACATGTGTAGCGTGTTCGTCGTTTTCATACGTAGGCGCACCCGAAGCTATTGAAGTGCAGATCGCTTTTCAATAGCTTATAGCTGGGCTGCTGGAGCCCAGAACTGACAGCCCAGGGACCGGAAGTGATGCAATCTGCATCGCTCCCGGTCCCATAGAACGGGGAGGGGATCGATGAACGGAAGTTCGTCGACCTCCTCCCCAGCTCCCCGCGGACACCAAGATCGCCGGTCTCGGGCCCGTAGTAGGGGCAACGGAGCCCGGGAAGCACGGCGGGGGGGGGAGGGGGGCGGCCCCTTCTTCGGGACGCAGAAGCGATCTGGCGACAGGTAAGTCGCCAGGATCGCTTCTGTTGTAAAGCCGACAGTCGGCTCTACAAGTTTAAACAGAGTCCCGGCGGCAAAAGTCACCGGGAGTCTGTTTAAACAGCCCCGATGCTGGCGACGTACACTGTACGTCGTCAGTCACGAAGGGGTTAAAGATGAAAAAAAACCTGACACTCTTGGAAGTGTCAGTTTCTGAAAAGTCTTTAGCAGGTGATCTCCCCTTACTACTGCAGTGTAGCACAGCAGGAGATGTGAGTATCTAAGTTCTTTTTTGCATGGAGCCCTTTATTTTAGGTATTCATTTTAGCTAAAGAGTCACTTAACATAAAGCCATTTTCCTGGCCCTTCAGAAGAGCCTGTTTCGATTGATGGGCTCCAAAACTTTACATTAATCTGCCTACATCTGGTGAGAAGGAACTCAGTCAAAGAATGTGTATATTCAAGCATGCTAGGATTGTGTAAAACACAGTATAAGTCATCTGATTAGAAATAACAGCGTGTTAAAGCATAACTCCGGCCAAACTAGTATTTCTATTTTTTGTCCCCTGCTGCATGCTGTGATTGCTCCCATGTACTCCTGCTTACACACAATAAAAATGTAGGTGGATAAAACGCCTGTCAGCAGTGGGCATGGAGTGTTGGTCAGTCTTTAGGGGGCTATTTCTTCTTACTATTGGAGCAATCAAAAACGTCTTGGCACCCTGGATTGCCCACTACATGTTCACTACTTTGACCAAAAACTGCTAACTATCTTGTGGGGTCCCTCAGGTTTTGGGGCAGCCCTACCAACCTCCATCCCCTTCTCTATACTGATCTATCTTGATCTTTTACCTTCTTCTTACTTTTCCCTCCCCTACCTCAGAAACATATCTCCATAGAAGGTTTAAAACACTGTACAGACACAGTCACTCACACCCCTAAACAATGTCTGTATGTAATAACCTAACAACTCTCTGTAAACCTTCTCCATCCATTGGGATATACAGAATCTATACTTATGTACCATGGACTAGTTATATATGCTCTAGCTACCAACTGCACTGTAATTGTGGAAGTGTTGCACCACAATTGTTGTTTTCCATTCCAAAATATTGCAGCTGAAATGAAGTAAACTCATATCTGTAAAAAATAAGTCAAGACAACTGTATTTTTCTTTCACAAAAAATACAGCAAGTCCAGTTGCCTTGACTTATTTTTTACAGATATACCATGGCCTGGATGAATGAGAACCTTCACAGACAAGGTAAACTCATGTTTGTAAATTGTTTATAGCTTTTGGTTGACCATTAGCTGTATTTGAGAACAGAACACTAAATGTTGTCTCTATTTTCCTGGTCTAGTATTACAACAAGAGGAAGACCTATTTCGCTCATGATGCCCTGGAGCAGTGCACAATGGGAGACATTGTACTGCTGAAAGCCTTACCTGAAAGGAGGAGTAAACATGTCAAGCATGAACTGGTTGAAATCATATTCAAAGTAGGCAGGGTGGTTGACCCCCTGACTGGAAAACTGTGCGCGGGTACCATGTATCAAGAAAGTTTAGAGGACATTGATGTCAATAACCTTGATCAAATGCTTCAGAACATCCACCTTTCAGCACGATCAAGTAGTCAAGAAGAGAAGAAGGCTGATTCCTGAAGACTTACCTCTGTTTAAAATACCCTTATGTGTGATGTCTAATTGTTACCATTTACAAGTAATTAAAATATTTGTTTTCTACATTTTGACACATTGATTTCATTCTAACTGTAACTGTAGTAAACAAAAGGATTAATATCAGGGGTAGGAAACCTTGGCACTCCAGCTGTTGTGTTAGTACAAGTCCCATGAGGCACTGCAAGACTGACAGCCACAGGAATGGCTCCCAAAGGCAATGGCATGATGGGATTTGTAATTTTACCACAGATGGAGTGCAGAGGTTGACTATATACGAGGGAGAATCACAAAGTAAAGGCAAAATACATTTAACCGCTTTCATAGAAGTAACTGTGAGCACTTGAACATATCACTTTCCCACACAGTCTCCATGCAAGATGATCCACTTGTTGTATCGTTCAACTAGCTTCTGTATTCCTGCAGAGAAGGAGCTATTCGGCTGCTACTGAAGCCAGGTGTGCACCGCTTTCTTTACTTCATCATCTGAGGGGAACCTGCGACTGCAAAACGCTTCCTTCCTTCTGCTCTCTGGGTTGTAGTGGTGCACCCATGTCCCGGTGACAATTCTCTCCAGAATCTTCCTGTCTTCTTCATACTGTCTCAAGAACTGGATCCCAACCTCCACACGCTGTTGCTTGTGCAGAGCAGTAAGCTGTTTTCCATAAACCTTATGGTGATTCATGGTGCTATGACCATACTGAGCCAACATCCAACGGTAAATTTCCACTGGTTGCACCCCCTGTCTCCAAAGAAAGCACTACAGCTTGTTGTTTTTCAATGTTGTCTTTACAATCTCGCAACAGAGTGTCCATGTCTCTGTCGACGTGACTACCACTCGACTAAAGTCTGAGCGCTCTGCATGGTGGAGCTATCCAACAGGATAGGTAAATATGCTGTATTGCCCAAGCTCTTCTCTGTTCCGGTTACCCCGTAATTTGCCTTTACTTTTTTATTCTCCCTTGAATATTATATGCTCACTGTTTTGTGATATATGTAAAATGTGTACATCCACTGGCACCATATTTTGATAATCATTATAATAACTACTAAGTAATTTTTTTGTGCCCTGAGAAAAGAATGTAGAGTCACACCAGGCTGACTATTTCTGGCTCTAAATGGGAGATGGAAGAGATGTCATGCCTATTGTTATTTTTCCACATATAGGGCTTTGTATAATGGAATCTGTTGCAACTCCAAGAATTCCTTCACTGCTGAGGTTTCATTAGCACATATTGTTGTATTGGACAGTATTAGTAATGTATTTCCAAGCACTGGGAACAAACTTACCAGAAGGAAACCGAAGGATCACTAATAGTATGGTAATGCTTCTCATTCTACCAACAGCAGACTGGGGGTAGTGGAGTGTTCTTACCATTCCCACTTCATTCTCACCCTATTGCATGCAATTTATTGCACAGTGTTTTGTATTAATAAAGACTCACCTGATGGATGTTACCTCACTTCCTGTGTGATTATCAGGATAGGAAACCAGCAAAATCTCTCAAGAGGGTTGAGACAGTATAAATACTTTTTTAGCAAAACATTTTTTTGCTGTCCGTGTTCCTGTTTGGAAGATTTTCCTTTATTTCTGTCTGTTCACAAGGGAGAGGAAATCTCTAGAACAGAGTAAACAAACAACAATAAAAACCTGGAAGAAACTCAACTGGTTTTGCACTATAAGAATAATGTTTCCTAAACAAGAAAATAAAAATATAGTTGAACAGTGAAAACAGATTTTGAGATGACAAGTGATATGTTTTGCTTTAAACAATACCTATTTTGTCTCACTCTCAGTTTGTTTTTACATGTACACAGCTGGAAAAGTAACCGGCTGTATTATATAATCCTGCAACTGCCTGAGGTGTACCTGAAAACATTTGTTACAATTCTTTTTCTTTTTTCGGTCATCATTTTACTTGTTTAGCGTATAGAAATTTCATTTAGCACTCATTCATACAAGAATGCTACGCATTGAAATGTACAGTGCTGATCCCAGCTGCACCATGCTGCGCTGAAAAAAAAATACAGCATGTCACACCTTTTGTTGCCACCACAGCATGATTTTGTGAACTGTGCCCATTTAAACAAGGCAAATTGCCTTGTCTGTGAGTTGGGACTGAGCAGAAAAAAAGCAACCAGCACAGCCCCCAACACATCTGGTGTGAATGGGCCCTTATATGACACCAATGTATTCACTAGCTCATTATAGAGGAACTTAAACTTGGAAATAGTTATACGAGAATAGCTTTGAAGCTTGGGACAACATTGTTAACTACAGCTCGCCATAGATACTAGGGAATGGTCAGATGTGCATGCATTATCCAACTATCGCAGGTTGCCTTCTTGGCCAGTTTCTCTGGTCAAACAAGCAGCTCTTATTTACGACGATGGAGGCAGGAGGAGGATCTAATTGCAGACACTCTTGAGAAACAATAGTGAGGTTCATGCAAGGTTTTCTAAATACCTGATCTCATTCTGGACATTTGTGCACTACCCCTTAGCCATTGGATATTTGCATAGTCTGCCCCCCCAAAAAAAGGCATGATTGGGAGGCTGGCATCTTATTGTATGCCTATGGGCACTGTAACAATGCTAACTACTTAGCCACTTGTGACATTTGAACATTTGCTAGATTTTTCCATTAAACAATGCATGGAGCAAGACTCTAACACGGTTATTCACAAAAGGGTGAAGAGTTTGGAGAAGGCAAGAGAAGTGAACAATCCAGGACAACATAGCTGAACTGGAAAGGGGATTTTTCCAAATCAGATATGTTGTCCTAGACTGCTCACTTTTCCTGCCTTCTCCAAACTCTTCACCCTTTTGTGAATAACCCTGTAAGTCTATAGAGATGGACTCTTAACTCCCAATCAGGATGCACATTGTACTGGTCTCGCTTCAGTGAAATGAATTTCAATTGATAGCCTATTTCTCAGTTTACTGAATAAGCTCAGTATGGTTTTACTACCTGTACCGAGAGAAATATGTGGGCTTCCTCTGCTGACTCCTCCTGAAATTTTTAGTTGTCTGGTTGTCTTTTAGCTTTACTTCTTTCTGAATCACTGTTATGAATAGAAACATGCAGCAAGTGAAGTTAGGAACAAAGTCAGACCTAAACTGTATACTGTTGGGTCAGTGGCTCAAATACTTTGCGCCATTGTTATAGCAGACAGGCCAGACAACTAGCATTTGAGAAAAGAACATCAGCAACAGCAGCCTCCATATTTCTATAAGTAATTACAGGTTTCTTTTCATGTTTCTAGACAGTCACTGACATTTATAATAAGTCATTTGATACCAATCAATATGTGCCAGAAAAAAACAAAATGAGTTCACTTGAGGATATGTTATCTGGTTTGTTCCAGTGTTTGCTGAGTTATTGCCAAATATATTGCATGCCCAGCAATTTCACAATCACGGGCTATTATGCATTGACTTTAAATTTGTTTGGAAAGAACTAGAGATGAGCATGGTCTCAAAAAGTAATCTGAGCTGTGTAAAAGTACAATTAGACAACTGAACACACATTTGTAATGAAGTCAGATAGAAAAGGCTAAATCAAATCATAGAACTGTCATGTTGCAGTCTGATCTTGTATAAATATTTATTTGGATAATAGCTGCTATTACATGGTATGTATTACCACTGTTTTCCTATATGGTTTCAGTATATTTAGGTATGGCCGAGTTCATATTGCATTAAAGTGGATCTTCACTCAAAATGATTTCCTATGTTATAGGGAACATCTAGAAATGTTAACTGTGCATAAGCAGTACCCTGAAAAATCTGCCTTTTTTATCTTGAATTATTTCTAAAAAAAATGGCCAACTTTCTGACATGCAACTGCCTGGGCACCCATACTCTCTAGCTTGCTAGTGATGTACAGTCATGGGCAAAAATATTGGCACCCTTGCATTTCTGTCAGATAATGCACCACTTCGCGCAGAGAATTGTTGCAATTACAAATGTTTAGGCATTCTTATGTTTATTTTGTTTGTTTTGGTATGACACATAAAAGCCAAATCTAACACGCAAAACTCCAAAAATGGACTGGACAACATTATTGGCACCCTCAATTAATATTTGGTAGCACAGCCCTTGGAAAAAAAAAACTGAAATCAATGGCTTCCTGTAACCATCAATGAGTTTCTTACACCTCTCTACAGGAATTTTGGATCACTCTTCTTTCGCCAGCTGCTCCGGGTCTCTCAGATTGTAAGGGTTCCTTTTCCCAACTGCTGTTTTGAGATCTCTCCACAGGTGCTCTATGGGATTTAGATCTGGACTCATTGCTGGGAAGTCCAGTACTCTCCAGGGCTTTGTCTGAAACCATTTCTGGGTGCTTTTTGACGTGTGCTTTGGGTCATTGTCCTGCTGTAAGAGCCATGACCTCTGACGGAGACCCAACTCTCTGACACTGGGCCCTATATTGCACCCCAGAATTCTTTGGTAGTCTTCAGATTTCATAATGCCATGCACACAGTCAAGACATCCAGTGCCTGAAGCAGCAAAGCCACCCCAAAACATCAGTGAGCCTCCACCATGTTTGACTGTAGGCACTGTATTTTTTTTTTTTTCTTTCAAGGCCTCATTTCTTTTTCTGAAAACAGTAGAATGATGGGCTTTACCAAAAACCTGTCATTTATGTTTCGTCTGTCCACAGCACATTCTCCCAAAAGGATTTTGGCTTCCTCAGGTAAGTTTTGGCAAACTCCCATCTAGCTTTTGTATGTTTCAGTGTCAGCAGTGGGGTCCTCCTGGGTCTCCTACCATAGCGTCCCTTTTCATTCAGATGGCGACGTATAGTGCGACCCTGTGCCTGAAGGTCAGCTTGAATTTGTCTGGAAGTTGATCGAGGGTCTTTATTCACCATTCGAACAATGCTTTGTTGTAATCTTTGATCAATTGTTCGCTTTCGTCCACGTCCAGGGAGATTATCTACAGTGCCACGGGCTGTAAACTTCTTGACAATGTTGCGCACAGTAACATTAAGATCTCTGAAGATGGACTTGTAACCTTGAGTTTGTCCATGCTTTTCCGCAAAAACTTGGAATGCAA